AAATTGACTCTAAAATAAAGAGTAATTTGGATCATGTTATAAAAGTGTACAAAAATGCATTTTGTCATTTAGACCATATTTGATAGTGGCACCTGTCTCAAAAAATCTATGTCTGAGATGACTTTAGCAGTGAGCACATGCTTCTGCAATCCATGTGTTTACAAAACATCTGGAACATGGAAAATGGCTTATCCCTGACCTTGCTCCCAACAATGAGCATGTGTCTGTGCAATCCAGATGTTCACCACACAACAGGAACATGGTTTATTCCTGACTCCGTCTTTCTTCGTGGCATTCAAATGTGTTTCACCTAGCACTGACAAATTTTACAGAGAATCTTTGTGTACCAAGTATAGGGTACTATTTAAAAAATAAAAACAGTTAAAACTGGCAAATAGGTGCAGCATAAAGATTAACAGAAAAAGGGAAAAATTTTATGTACTAATAAATATGGAAGAAATGTGTCATTTCGTGGCAATGATATCACCCTTGAGAAATGTTTTATATGGCTGCCTTTCTTTGCTTATGTATTCGAAGCAAGTGAAGCATTCATTTTCATATTGGAGATAATGGTGAGGCAGACAGGGAAAAAACGACCACCTAGAGAAAGAGAGTGATTTAAAGTTGCCAAAAATCTCTCTGATAGGGTTTCTCCAGGAAAGAAATTCCTCTGCATGATATTACTGAGGAAACTAAGTTCTGTAATCAAAAGAATCTTAGGTTATAAAGGATAGCATTTATGAGTGTCAATTTTTTTCTTAAATAATTTCATTTTCCTCCTCTTTTTCCTTGTGTGATAGGAAGATCTCATTTTCACCAGAGGAATAGGCCCCTATACTTTTCATTGACATTACACAAATTCCTGTTATAATTAGTATACTTCACGGTGCTGATAATCGGAAGATTGATACTTTCTCCCAAAGATGTCATGAAACTGAGTCATAGCAAATAGAGCAAAAAGAAAACCATTCTAAATTGTGAAAAATTATTTTTCTTATTTTGTTTTTGCGTATCTAGAACAATAGCTAGATTGTATCATAAATGGTTGTCTATATAGCACACATTAATGTAATTCTGTATAGGACATCTTTCAGGTCTGTTTTGTGAATTGAGTCTGAGAGAAATAAAAAGAAGATGAAAGTCTCTAAAAGCTTGTGTCAATTAAGAAATCCCCTACTGATGGAAAATCACCCCCAGACATCCCTACTTCATTAGTCAGCTCATCACAGCATCACGGCAGCGAGTCCCTTGGTTCTTGTCAGTGGCTTTAACATCTTCCTCTAAAATGCCCTATGAAAGGCCTGAACAGCAGTGTTGGAAAACTGCTGTTTTCTAAGGAAATCATGTGACAGCTGAGAAACAATACTCAGTTTGGCCTTTTGCTACACGAGAGGTACTGTTTTACTTTTCTTTCTCAGCAAATGAAAAAAATCAAATTATGTTTTCTCCGGAATCAGATGAAGAATGGGATGGCAGCTGAATAAAGATGGCAGGAATCTGAGAGGCTGAGCATCACACATAATTTATCTTTGTTTTCATAAAGAACAAACATAATCACTGAATACACTGGAATAGAAAAAAGTAACTGATCAGATTTGGGAACTTATTTGTATAGTAATAAAAAACATTTAAGAAGACAAAATTGCAAGGTACTGAATATTTATTGTGTGTCTGTGAACTTTTCTTAACAGTAATGGATGACAGATGGAGATGGATTTTCGATGGTGTTCACTTAGGGTTCTTTGCATTTACTATGCTTATATGTATGCATAGTGTTACTTATTTTGATAATTTTATACTTGGAGACTTTTTATCCTGGCTTTATAATCAAAAGTTTCAGGGTATATATAAAAAGAGGGAAACCCATCACTGGAAAAATAATGTATTAAAGCAGAATAATATGTATTAAGTTCAGGGAATCATATGAAAGAAGAGGGATCTAGTAAGACCTGGAGAGGACAGGAGCTCCACAAGGACCAAATATATCTGGGCACTGGGGTCTTTTCTGAGACTGATTCTCCATCCAAGAACCATGCATGGATATAACCTAGAACCCCTGCTCAGATGTAGCCCATGGTAGCTCAGTATCTAAGTGGATTTTCCTAGTAAGGGGAACAGGGACTGTCTCTGACATGAGCTCAGTGGCTGGCTCTTTGACCTCCCCCCTCCCTCAAGAGAGGAGCAGGCTTTCTAGGCCACGGAGGAAGCTAATGCAGCCAGTCCTGTTAAGACCTGATAAACTAGGGTCAGATGGAAGGGGAGGAGGAACTCCTCTATCAGTGGACTTAGAGAGGGGCAGGGAGGAGATGAGGGAGGGAGAAAGGGTGGCGTTGGAAAGGAATGAGGAAGGGGGCTACAGCTGGGATACAAAGTGAAAAATTATAATTAATATAAAAAATAAAAATTTAATTAAAATATTCACATTTTAGGATCTGCTTTTAAGCAAGTTTGGAAATCATTCTCCAAGTTTCAATAGATACTTTTAGCTACAGAGGATATCTATCATACCTTTTTGACAAAACATTCTTTTACATGATACATAAAGTTCTTAATTTCTTTTGGACTTAATTTTATTTTCAGAATACTTTTTAGAAAAGGATTAAGTGGATAAAATATTTAGAAGCAGGTAAATATTGCATACTACTCGTTTATACTATAGGGTAAAGCTATGTATCATCAAAATATAGAGGCCACTAATTTAAATGAGAGAAGAAGGCTGTATATAGGAGGATTTGGAGGGATGAAGGAAAAGGGGAAATGGTGTAATTGTAATCCTAAATAATAAAAGAAACAATTTTAAAAGAAGGAAACATACGAATTTCAAAAATAGTTGATTGTGATTTCATTGGAACAAATAGTAACTTCATAGATTTAAAAATAACAATGTAACAGATGTTGGTATTAGTTAATATTTCAAAAATGTGGATTCAAATTAAAGAGTAAATACAAATAGAGAAAATATGTGCTACAGCTTTGGAACTCTACACTTCAGAATAGAACCAGAAAACCTCCTGCCATTCTTGGATCCTACCACTTTATCCCCAACTGTGTTCTCAAGGTTGTCTGAGTGACAAAAACAGAAAATAAATAAAATGGAAACCAGAAATGATTCTGATTTAATGTAAGAAAATAAATTACATGACCTATTTCAGTAATACTCTGCGGCCAGTCTGCTTGTAGGTGACTAATTTTAGTAACTGGGGAAGAGTAAAGTTACCAAGTGTAGGTCTTTCGTATTTCCTGAAGAATGCTCACCTTCATTGTTGGTAGATTTACAGCAGCATAGGAATTGTAGCATAGCCTATTACTGCAACTTGGTTGTGAAAGCTGGTCAATACTATTTATTCTCATAATTTTCTGCTTGGTACATGACCAGCTATTCTATTGAGTCATGGTGATTTACCTTGTCTGGATTGATTTCCTTACAGTAATGTCATGGCAGTGCATGCAGCTAGGCAGTGATTGTATTGCTAATGTATCACTGGACACCATTTATCCCTCCTGCCTTTGTCATTGTCATACTTTCTTCTTCTTGCCTTTATTATGAAAAGTATATGCCTTGAAATCCATTAATCTAAATCTTGTTCCATGGCCTGCTCTCCTCTTTTGATTCCTCTAAACTCATTTATTTAGTAACCATAATAATATAATTAGAGCATTTGAAACATTAATATTTATTATTTCATCACAATATAATTAATTCATATGAAATACTAACAGTTATTCACAGTGACTTTTTGCTTCTCCATTACTGAATCTTTCTACATCTTCCTAAAAATTAACCATGAAATATAGTTGACTGCATCATTCCTGTTTTCATTGGCTTGTTTGTTTTTCATTGGCTTCGTATACTATGTTGAATCAATGCATCATTTCATTGCTTTTTTTTAAATAAATCATATTTTGATATTTTTCCTCTCAAATGTATATTAATATTAGTAAATTTTTAGTTATAAGTGAAAATATCCAGTTTACTTTAATTAGGAAGTATTCTACTGAATCAAGTTGCCCATTCTAATGTCTAGGAGAAGTTTAGATATTTCTGTTTATGGTTGTTTGTAAAATGTTGCTATGAATGCTCTCTTACTTGCTACCTAAGTCACATGTAAATATTACTGCAGGGTACGGAATGAAAATACTTGGCAATGGTCAATGCAAAGCTCACATTTCCAGGAGAGATATAAATTGCTCTTCTGTATCGCATCTGGAATATTAGTAGCATATAATAATACATTTGGTCTTTTCATTGATCTTATGTAAGTTCTTACAAATGCCTGCCATGTAACAAAAAGCTATTAGTGGTATATTTCTTAACTCCTACTGCCCAAATTAATAACACTGTACTGTTAATAGTATTTAGCATCATGTGTCTGTTTTGTGAGCTTTCCCTGACTTTAGAAGTCTATACTAAAGAATATTCTGTCAAAGATATTCTTAATGAGTATGTTATTTTGTTTATAAAATACATGCAGACAGCAGAAGGACAAACAACCCTATTTTCTTTTCTTTTTTATTATTATTAATTACACTTTATTCATTTTGTATCCTCCCACAAGCCCCTCCCTCCTCCCCTCCCGATCCTACCCTACCTCCCTTCTCTTCATGCATGCTTCTCTCCACATCCACTGATAGGGGAAGTTCTTCTCTCTTTCCTTCTGATCTTAGTCTATCAGATCACATCAGGAATGGCTGGATTGTCTTCTTCTGTGGCCTGGTAAGGCTGCTCCCCCCTCAGGGGGGAGGTGATCAAAGAGCAGGCCAATCAGTTTATGTCAGAGGCAATCCCTCTTCCCATCACTATGTAAGCCACTTGGACACTAAACTGCCATGGACTGCATCTGTGCAGGGGTTCTATGTTATCTCCATGAATAGTCCTTCGTTGGAGTATGAGTCTTTGGGAAGTTTCTTGTGTTCAAATTTTCTTGTTCTGTAAACAACCCTATTTTCACAACATTCTGGTGACTTATTTTTTTTCACAGTTATATTTTTTCTTTTGACAGAACGATTCCGAGATTTACTATTGCCTCCATCAAGCCAAGACTCTGAGATTCTGCCCTTCATTCAATCTAGAAACTACCCCAAGTAAGTAACAAGAGTTTTGCTCAGTATTAAAAAGGGAAGGGTCAGATGTTACCCAGAAATTGGTGCAAGGAAGGTTAAATATAATTGTTTTTTGGGGGTTTGTGAAAATCCTGAGTAATTTAGGCTAACCAACTTGGATCCTATTTGTAATGTATGATCTTTGACTCTTCATAAATAGTCCAGATGACAGAGCTTTGCTTCTAAGTACAATGAGATGTGACAAGGCAGTTTTTTCTGTATGTAGGTAATGAACCTTCTGTATAATGATGCTGTATTATCAAAGGGCAGCTCTTCATCCTATTCTCTATGTTCTATATTTTTAATAAATTTATTCATTTTACATCCTGACCACAGGACCCTGCCTACTCTCCTCCTGGTTCCACCCTCCCACCCTTTTCTCCCTTTTCCCCTCTCCTTCTCCTCAGAAAAGGGCCACCCCTACCCTCTTACAAACCCACCCCAGTACATCAAATTGTATGAGGGTTTATAACACCCTTTTCTGTTGAGTCCCAACAAGGTACCCAGCTAGGGAAGAGTGATTCAAAAGCGGGCAATGAAGTCCATGTCAGATATGACCTACACTCCCCTTGTTACAAGGAGACCCAGTTAAGGACCAAGGCCCCATCAATCACATATGTGTTGTATGTCTAGGTCCAGGCCATGCATGTTCTTTGGTTGGTGCTTCAGCCTCCGTAAGCCCCTATGTGCCTTGGTTAGTTGACACCTCGGTCCTCTTGAGGGATTCTTGTCCCCTCCAGGACCTTCTGTCTTTCCCCACACTCCTCTCAGGGTCCACCTAATGTTTGGCTGTGGGTCTTAACACCTCTTTCATTCCACAGCTGTATGAAGCCTCTCAGGGCAGTCATGCTAGGCTCCTATAATGTGTATTGTTCTGCTTCTGCGTTACCTCACTCAGCATGATCTTTTCTAGGTCCATCCATTTTCCTGAAATTTTCATGATTTCCTTGTTTCTAATAGTTGAGTAGTATTCTATTGAGTAAATGTACCACAAATTCTCTATTCATTCTCAGTTGAGGGACATCTGCGTTGTTTCCAGATTCTGGCTATTAAAAATAAAGCTGCTACGAACTTAGCTGAGCAAGTGTTCATGTAGTATGATTGAGCTTCTTTTGGGGATATGTGCAGGAGCGGTATAGCTGGGTCTTGAGGTAGAACTAGTCCCAATTTTCTGAGAAATTGCCAGATTGATTTCCAAAGTGCTTGTGCAAATTTGCACTCCCTCCAGCATTGGAGCAGTGTTCCCCTTGTTCCACACCCTGACCAGCATAGTATTTAAATAAAGATTATCATCATAGTTTTCTTTCTTTCTTTTTTCTGGTTCACTAGTATACACTCTTTTTTGGTAAAAATAAAAAAGTTGTATGATCAAAATATAAGATAAAAAGCAAGATGCCTACCCTATATTACAAACGTTACATTCAAATGATAATACTTATAGAGCGTACAATACCAAGCATAAACTCAGTATATTCCAACTAATATACACTGTCGGATTTTGTATTTGGTGTAAACTCTAACTAGGTGCATAGTTTCCTTTAATCCATAGCATTCTCTGAACAAGAGAAATCTAACAAAGAAATAGAGAATAAAAATGTAACCTTCAGATGAAAAATACTCAGAGGTAGAAAAATGACTCATTAATGAAATTTGTGTGTAAGAGAGATAGACAGAGAGAGAGAAGTAGAGAGAGAGAGAGAGCGCTATATTAGAGGAAAGTCATTTGAAAAGCATTTCCTATGATTCTGGCGATCATTGTTCTAAAATAATACAAAGTGCATTAATTATATTCTTAAATTTAAAAACTCTCATTTGACCCTTTGCCAAAATCAGGGTCATCCATTCTTTCTTTAGAATTCAAGCACTGACATGGCTCTGTGGAAGTTCTCAGAATGTGAATAGATGAGGACAAAACAGATGACTTAAAGAAAAGTACACTGAACTGCAAAGTCAGTGTGGATTCGTAGGTTAGAGAAAATGAGCAGGAGTAACAAGTTTGATTGCTCAGTCTCTGCTCACGCCACCGTCGTTCGTTATGTCTGAAGAGATACTGGTTTATGGTATATCTGAAGGATGTTTATATTTATCTTCCTATTCTTATACAAATAGCTCAGATGTGCAAAATGTTTGAGGACGTCTGGCATCATTTAGACGTTACAGTGGAAAATTTAGCCTCAAAATATGGCCCAGTAGGAAGATTTAGTACAGATATGCATAAAGTATTGAGGGACCACAGGATGAAATTACTTCCACATTGTTTGCACGAGGATTAAGTCCTATGAGCAGTAGCATCTTGCAGTCCTGCACCCACTGATTATAAAGAGAAATATAATTTATGACCCAGTGTCAGAGTTGTTCTTTGGCTTGACTGCCAAAAAGCAACCTTTTGTTTGGACAGCACAATCTGTATCTCAACACAATCTCATTTCCAAGTGGCTGCCTAAAAATGGCTCCAAATGATAAGGTTGGGTAATATCTCCAAAGTCCTCAAATGACCTCAGGTTTCATCTCTTTGCTGGATAACTTTCCTATTTATCCTCTGTACTTGGAGTTCTATTTCTAGAAATGATTGCTTCCCTTTTCAGTAGTTTTTATTCATTTATGTGTAACATATTTTGAAGATACTTTTATTATCATCTATAATAATAAATAAATATTAGTAAAATACAGAATATCAGTATGTGTCAGGAATTGTACTATGTGAAGGTATTTTTAATTTTCTTCTTCATCCTCTTCCTCCTCCCCATGTTCTTCCTTGTCATCCTCCTTCTCAATTTTTTTTTTTTTGAGGCAGTGTTTCTCTATGTAGTCCTGGCTGTCCTGGAACTCATTCTGTACACCAGGATGACCTCAAGCTCACAGAGATCCACCTGCCTCTGACTCCCAAGTGCTGAGATTAAGGGCATGCACCATCACCTCCGGGCAATATAACATCTGTGGTTTCTTAGTGTCTGTGAGGTATCTGTCCAGGCCCTTCTGGTTTTCATAGTTTTGATGAGAAACCAGGTATAAGATAGATTTCAGGTTAGGCTTCTGGGAGGATATGAGGGGATTCAAGTAGAAACTTCTAGTAGCAGAAGCCATAGAGACTGAAGAGGACATGCTCTAACTAGACTAGTCTTCTAGTAAATGGCAGGGAACACCAACCCACCCACAAAAACTTGGACCCAAAATTTACCATCCCTCTGAGGGATGGTAGAGCAGGGATAAAGATAGAGCAGGTAGAAGAGAAATTGATGGAATGCCCAACTAATGCCTGGTCCAACCAAAGATGCACCCTATAGGAGAGAAGAGTGGCAACTCCTGACACAATGAAGGGATACTCTGCTAACCTTGCAGACAGGATACTGTCAACGTTGTCCTCTGAGAGGCACTACCCTGCAGTGCCTCAAAAAAGATGCTGAGACTCACCACCAAACATTGGATAATGTGTAAGGAGTCTTGGGGAATAGTGGGAGAAAAGAGAAAAGGACCCGGAAGTGACAGGAGCTCTACAAGAAAAACAACAGAGCCAACTAACCAGGGCCCAAAGAGGCTTGCTGAGACTGAACCATCAACCAAGGACCATGAATGAACTGGATTTAGGCCTCCTACAAAGATTTAGCAGATGGGCAGCTTAGGCTTCAAGTGGGCACTCTAGTAAGGGAAGTGGGGACTGCCTCAGACATGGATTCACTTGCTAGCTTTCAGATCACTTTCCCCTGGTGGGACTGCCTTAGCAGGCCACAGGGGAAGAGGACACATTCAGTTTTTTTATGATTATTTTTATTAATTAAAGTTTATTCACTTTATATCCCACCTGTAGCTCCCTCCCTCTTCCTTTCCCAACCCCACCCTCCACCCCTCTTCTCCACCCATGTCCCTTCCCCAGTCCACTGATAGGGGAGGTCCTCCTCTCCTTCCATTTGATCCTAGCCTATCAGGTCTCATCAGGACTGGCTGCATTGTCTTCCTCTATGGCCTGGTAAGGCTGCCACCCACTAAGGGTGAGGTGATCAAAGAGCAGGCCAATCATTTTATGTCAGAGACAATCTCTGTTCCCATTACTAGGGAACACACATGGACACAGCTGCCATGGGCTACATCTGTACAGGGCTTCTAGGCTATTCCATGAATGGTCCTTGGTTGTAGTAGAAATCCTAGAAAACACCCCTGTGTCCAGACTTTTTAGTTCTGTTGCTCTCCCTGTGAAGCTCCTGTCCCCTGCAGATATTACTATCTCCCCGTACTTTCATAGGATTCCCTGCACTCTGCCCAAGGTTTGGCTATGAGTCTCAGCATCTGCTTAGATACCTGCAGGGTGGAGTCTTTCAGAGGCCCTCTGTGGTAGACTCCTGTCCTGTTCCCTGTTTTCTCCCTCTTCTGGTGTCTGTCCTCTTTGCTTTTCTGAATGAGGATTGAGCATCTTACCCAGAGTTGTCTTCCTTGCTTAGCTTCTTTAGGTTTACAGATTTTAGTATGTTTATTCTATAATGTATGACTAATATCCACTTATGAGTGAGTATATACCATGTGTGTCTTTCTGCTTCTGGGATAGCTCATTCAGGATGATCTTATCTAGATCCCACCATTTGCCTGCAAATTTTATGATTTCCTTGTTTTTAATTGCTGAGTAGTATTTCATTGTGTAAATGTATCACACAATGATATCCCTCAACTGAGGGACATCTGGGTTGTTTCCAGGTTCCTGCTATTACAAATAAAGCTGCTATGAACATGGTTGAGCAAATGTCCTTGTTGTATACTTGAGCATCTTTTGGATGTATGCCTAGGAGTGGTATAGATGGATCTTGAGGTAGTGCTATTCCTAATTGGATGAGCTGGTGTGGATGGGAAAAGGAGCCACCTTTTCCTCAGAAAAGGGGAGGGGGGAAGGGGCTTCGAGACAGGGTGGGACTTTAAGGGTATGAAGAAAGGGGCTACACAGATGTAAAGTGAATAAAATAAATAAATAAGAAATGAAAGAAATGAATTCTCATTTT